TTTTACAGAAATGTTTCCCGTTTGAGGGAAGAGAAAAATCACTGGTAAGTTATAGAAACAATTTCATTGTTTCCTGTAGTCTTTTGCAATAATGAAACAAGCAAGTAGGACTTAACACTCAATTGTAGTGTACAACACAGGGCTCAAGGCAAAACATAATGTCTTCTGACTTTTAAGACATAATAGACATTCTGGTTTTCCCTACCTACCCCATACCATTTACCAGTATTTCTTCATCCTAAGGGATTTTTAAGGCCCCTGAAATCCTAGATTTATTACTCAAGAAGATCGATCCATTCTGCAGCTTCTGTCAATGAGTCTCAGTGTTTCTATTTCAACAGCCTGTAGATATGAAAGATGGATAGAAACATGTCAAAAAACAAACAAAATATACCTCTTTCTTTGATCTCTGCACCCAGGTTTCTCAGAAGAAGCCCCAGGGAGAGTCTGAGGTTATGTGAAGTGTGTGACTTGCAGTTGTAAACAGTAGATGACATTCTGTTATAAGTGGGCACCATCTTATTAGTCCATCCAAACTGACATTCCACAAATGTATATATAAATTAAGTGACTGATAATACACTTTAAAAAGAATGAAGTACACTCACTCTAGAGGATATTTTCATATAACAGAATCTGGTGTTGCAGAAAAATCTGAGCCCATCACATAGGTAAACATTTGTTTTTTTTCCAGTGATTGACCATACATCCATATACCAGATGCTTAGGCAGACTTTTTTTCTGATACTCTTTTCAGTCTATTCACACTCCCTCCATTTCTTAACTCATTGGAATAAAAATTAAAGTCCTATGTCCTTTACAACTCTACAAAAAAACTGTGCCTGTGTCCTGACTAATAGGTTAATTCCATGCACCTGAAATGTTCAGGAAACTATCACTGACTCAATTTTGACAGGTCTGCTCAGAATTTGTAATTACTATTCACTGAAAGGTCAATTACTCCTGCTTCTAAGCATCTATAAGCCTCTAGATTCTCTTCAATTGCTTCTCCCTGCTTTTGCTCCCCCTATTTTTTTTAAATATCGCTATTTAAAAGTTGAACTGGATACTATTTTTATACGTATCATTGAATGACAACTATAGGTTTTAAAAAATGTTTAATTTTAAAAGCTGAAACGTAGGAGTTCTATTTAAAATTTTCTCAAAAGTGGATACATTTTTTTGCATAATATGCATGGAATCTCCTTTCTCAATAATCAAATATACTATACCCATTCTCTAACTACCATTGTTATTATAAATTACCCTATAAGGTCACCATACCCTTCCAAAGGCATCAGCCTGATTAAATCTTGGAGCCAATAAAACACTGACCAGCTTTGAAAGTTTAAGTCAGTGCTTTTCTAGTTTCTGTGGGTTTGTCAAGATTTCAAATCCTAGCAAAAACCTGTATCACATTTAAATTGAAAAGCTTAGAAGGAATAAACATTTAACACCAAATGACTAAAAATCATATATAGTCCTTAGTTTATTTTATTCACTCAAGACCCTTCAAAGATCAGTGAAAACTCTGACTATATATATAGGAAATCCCAACTTTAATTTCATAGTCCAAATGTAAACTCTCTTCTCATTACTTGAAACCTGAAATTCATTTCATAGACTGCCTAGGAAAGTTTAAGGAAAAAATAAGATTGGTTCTGACTTTTCCTTACATTTGAGGTAATACTGTCACAGCTGAATTTTTGGTAAACAGTTAGTGGTCCACATATATTAGGATCTTGTTGACCACATTCCTGATCTCTTTTCTTCTGTTCATTTATTGCTGTCAGAAAGGCACCCAAACTAATGATAAGCTGTAAAAAGTAGACAGGCAGCCTCATGCATTTTTAATATAAGGTTCAGAGGAAAACACAGACTTACAGTGTCTCATAAATATTATTATAATTACAATATATATGTGTGTTTATATACACACACACAATTATATATATACATCAAGCAAAGACAAACCATCACTCCTTCCTTAATCGATGCCTTCCTCAGTGTCCATAAACAAATGTATAGAGAGTAAATTTAAGAAAAAAAATATTTCCACAAACCAAATATGTAACCTTCTCATATTAAAGTCAACAGACTCCACCTGCTGCTACTGCTCAAGAGGAGTATTTTTTTAATCTTGATGGCTTTATGGTTCCAGTTATTTTATACATTTATTAAATGAACTGTTAGTTGTCTATGTTGTTAATGTTTTGCCCTTATTAATTAAGTGTAGGCCCTCATATTACAATAAATTTAGGGATTTTTTTTAAAGGATAAAAATCTGTAGTACAATCTTCTTCTAGATGAAGATAAAATATATGTGGAGCCTAAATATGTACTTGAGAGAGAAAAAACATAAGACACATTCATACTTTATTGACATACAGAAATGCTTTAGTTAAAGCCTCACCTACACAGGCATTTTTGTTTTTTAGGATTAATATTTGCTGGGAAATAATTCATCTGTGAAGTTATTAAGATATTAAGATATGTAAGTAACAGGTTCTGATCGCCAATTAGAATGTGACGGGTTCCCCACATACCCAATAATTCTTGGACACCAAGATTTCCAGGGTGTCCTATAATTCAACTCAGTTCTGACATATTATCTACCCAGAGATGGCATCAGATTCCACAGGTTAAAGCCTCAGTTCCGCGAGTCCATTTTAGACGCCAATCACAAGCCCAGGTTGTTACCTGTACTTCTGACCACCTGGCTATAAGTCAGGGGTTCCCACAACCTCCTCCTTGGGTTCAGTTAATTTGCTAGAGCAGCTCACAGAACTCATAGCAGGTCTGCTCACTCACTAGATCACCGACTTACTACAAAGGTTGTGAACCGACAGCCAGTTGAAGAGATGCATAGGGTGAGGTCCCTAACAAAGGAATTCTGTCCTTCTGTAGTTTGGGATCCAGCACAGAGGCACACAGAAGCACTCTGGCTTCCCAACCTGAAAACTTTCCAAACCCCCTCCTCCTGGGTTTTTATGGAGCTTTCATTACATAGGCATATTGATTAAATCACTGGGAGCTGGGGACTGATTCACCCTCCAGGCCCTCTCCCCTGCTCAGAAACAGGACAAGTCACTGAAAGTTCCAACCCTCTATTCATGATTGGCTCCTCTGGCAGCCAGCCCCCATCCTTAGGAGCTTTCCAAACGTCATCTCATTAACATAAGTCAGCTGTGGTGGAAAAGTTCTTGTTATAAATAGCAAGACACCCATTCCACCTTTATTGCTCTGAAGTGGTTTCAGGAACTGAGGACAAGAAACCAAACATTATAACAAAAGATGTTCAGTTATTGCTCAAGAAATTCCAGGGGTTTGGGGAACTATGAGCCAGGAAGTGTGGATGAAGACCAAATACATATGAGAAATATATTTTGGTCATCTGAATGACCACATGCATATTTCTTATAAATCACAATATCTCAGCATTGCATATTCTGCTCATCATAGCATGTATCTTTCTTTTTGGTAAGTTTAAGTGTTTCCCAACCATGGGCTTCTTTAACTCCTTATAAAGATATGTTTTGTTCAATCTTGTGCCCTCAGCACCTAGTATGGTTGAGACTTAAATGAAGTTTGGATGAGTGAATGACTATGTTTACCACTAATGAATAAGTCAATAGGCAAGAGTATGGGGACACGGGAAATACCACTTGAATGTTTCAGGCTATTGTGCAAATCTGAGCCTACATGTCAGCTGTCCCATCCATCTAGAATGTTCTTCACCCTCACCCCCAACTCCTCTTTAAAAGTGTTCACTCTTTAACACTGACCTTCAATACCTGCTCATCTCTACACACACACACACACACACACACACACACACACACACATCCACCCCAAAGCAGCCTTCCCTTTTCCAGCTCTAAAGCCTTTTCTCCTGGGCATATCTTGGCTGCAGTACCCAGCACACTATTCTATAATAACTGGTTATTTGCCCATCAGTTCCACTTGATTATAAGCTCCTTGAAGGAAGGTGTCTTCATCTGTATCCACATGCTGAGCATTAGCAGTGTGCCTGGCAGTAGTGAGCATTCAAAACTAGTTAGAAATAATGGGTAAGAGAACCAATAGGGTGGGGGGATGCATTCTGCAAAATTATCTCAATGTAATCTGTGTTTGTTCCACGTAAGATGTTAACCAGGCATATACTATTCCAACTCCTCAACAGAGTATTACTATGATTATATATCAAGATTATTGCTGATACAGGAACATTTGAAAAAGTGTGTTAATCCACAGAGACCCCAAGGCAGAGAGATCTTCAACACACTTTTTTCTCTTTTCCCCTCTCTCCTGATCCTGATGGCGTTAAAAAATGTTTTCTTCCTTCTTGACGTACGATTCCCTATCCTGTTCCCAGATGCCATATGTGGATCTGCTTCCCAGAAATCACCCAATAATCTCTTCCTCATGAAATATTTATATTCTCCATCCCCTGAGGATCTTGAACCACAGCTGAGGAAGCTAAAAAATAACCTGGTTTTGTGGGAAAACAGGTGCTCATAGGCTGGTGTTTCCATTTTGACAGGGATCTTTTCTAAGATGGCTTTACCCCAAGGTCAGTGGAAAAAGACATTTTGAAACAAGGGACTTCTCAGAAACCCTCAAATCACTCCACTGGGGTGAGCTCCCTGTGGCACTAGAAAGGCGATGAAGCGTGGTGGTTAGGACAGGCTCTGAAGAACTAGGCTACGTGGGTTTGAATCCCAGCTCTTTCACTCCCTAGCCTTCCGACCTTGGGTAACCTCACTGTTGCCCAAGGTTCCTATCTGTAAAATGAAACAATGTTAAGACCTACTTCAAAGAACTGCTGGGAAGATGAGAGGGGTTAAATACAGGTAGGATACTCAGAAATGCCTTGTAAGTAGTAAACAGTCAATAATGGTCTGCTGTTAATACCATCATTTTACTTCTAACAGAACTGGCTCTGAAAGAACCTGAGAGAGAAATTCTCCACAATGGGAGAGGGCTGAGTGCACACTTACTGATCTGGTTGTTCAACTTGAACGCGATATCCAGCTGCAGGATAAACAGCATGAACTGGAACCAAGGACTCATCTCCCTGGAGGGGAGGGGAATGTGGACAGAAAAGACAATGTGGTTGGCTTCAATTTCCCTTGGAATCGCTTCCTCAATGTCTTGGATCTTGTCGCAGTGGTTGGGTCCCCAAGGCATTAACCATTTTGTCTTGTGATGGTTTTTACGGACGTCCACACATTTCACGCACATGTAGGACACTGCCGTTGTGGGTCCTGGAGCTGAAAAGAGAATGGTTTTCCCTTTTAGAAAAATCACCCACTAATGTGCCTTCTATAACTTGGAATCAGTAATACCCAGAGAGCTCCCAAATCCAGGTGAGGATCTCTCAGTGACCTCCACAGGTATCACAAAGTATCTGCAAGAGCCTTCCCATTGTGCTTTCAATCACTGTTATTTATTGAAAGAATATATTTGTAATCACTTTGGTTCAGTTAATCTCCTCACTCCAAAAAATCACCTGTGCTTCATTTCCTACCTGCCTGAGGACTTCGAGGGCCCTGGTGTTTCATTGAGCATGGTGTCTTAAATCAGAGGACCTGGGTCAGGAGCCTGGTTGAAAAACTTACTGTCAGTTAATCTTAGATAAATTGGTTAAATTTATGGTAGCTTCAGGACCCTCATCTGAGAAACAAGACGGTTGGTTTCTAAGATTAAACCAAGATAGCTGGTTTCTAAGATTTTTCTTAGTTCTAAAATTCTCCAACACTGCTTTTGATTGAATAAAGAACTGTGTTGACCTCAGGCCCCCACTGAGTGTGGCACCTATGAGAAGGTAGGAACAATTAGTGACTTATACTTCAAAGGTGTACTGAAATATGATCCATGCATTTCAAAGGAGATCATCAAACCCGACTCTATTACTACTTAAAAATTTTTAATTATAAAATGGTTATTTAATTATAATAGAAAATTTAAAAATACAGAAATTTTAAAGTTCAAAACAACATTTAACCAAAATCCCACTAGAGAAAAGTAACCACTGTTGGAAAAATATCAAAATACTATCTATCTTTTCTAAGTGTATAATCGGATAAAATTTACAAATGGATTGTATTGTGTAACTTTAAAATACATACACAAACACACACTTCTATAAAATGGAGTCACACCATACATAGTTTTGTAGCTTTTTCTTTTTATTCACTTAGAGAAGCAGAGCAGCACAGTGGAAAATAACACCAGCTCTGGAGCCAACCTGCCTGGTGTCAAATCCTGGCTCTCTGATTTCTAGTTCTGTCACCATTAACCCACACTACGGAAGTTCTGGGGGAGTTACTGAACCTATGTATTAGTTGTATCATCTCTTAAAATGGCAATAATAATAATAATACCTACCTGTTGGACTCACTGTACATATTAAATAACATGAAAAGTACTCAGGACAGTGCTGGAGCACATGAAAAGTACAAAACTTGCATTAGCTATTATTTTATCAATTATTCCATATAATTAAAATTTTTCAACTAGTGCTTGCAAAATAATCAATCACATGATTGACCATATTTAATTTACCTACACTCACCCCCTGGATTATAAAAGTTATCTAAAAATAGTAATTTTGCCTAATATTTTTTGCTAATAATTTATCTTAACTTTTCCATCTGCTGTCTAAATTTGCTTATGGCATATTATAATATAGAGAAGTTCCAGATTCTATATAGAATTTTCCTTTTTATTTACATTTCTTCCCATGCTTTTGTGCTTAGACTTTTTGTCTCCAGATTCAATAAACAGACACCTTTATTAACTTCCCATTATTTTTTCTAAGCTCATTTTTAAAAACTATTTAGTTGATCCACCTGGAATTTGTCTTAATGTAAGAGAAGAGGCAAGGGTCTCATTTTATTTTTTCTAAATATTTAAATTATTCTTTACTGAGCAGTAAAGAAACATCTTGTTAATGTTTTATATCACCTTTACCTTAGGTATACCAATAGATATTCCTGGACATCTGCTCTACTCCATGTATTGGGCTGTCACTCAAGGCCCAATACAACATTGTTTTGAATCCTCTAAGTTGATGGCTTGTATCAGTATCTGATAGAGCAAATCCCCTTCCCAATTCATTTCAAATGTGTATCCTTTTGCTGGGTTTGACTGGAATTACATTAAATCCATAAATGAATATAGAAAGAACTTGCATCCTTTCCCAACAATTAGTTTTCCCAGCCAAGAACAGCGATTGCATCTCCCTTAACTGAAGTCCATTTTTGTATTCCTTTGAAATTTGCATTGTTTTGTCTTATCATGTGGGTCCTATTAGTGCATTGTACATTTGTTATTTATTTATTTATTTATTTGGGGTTTTTTTATTATTTTTTTTTTACTGAAGTATCATTAATACACAACCTTATATTGGCTTCAACTATACAACACAGCAGTTCAACAGTTACCCACATTATTACGTCTTCAACCCCCACTAGTGCAGTTACTATCTGTCAACATTGGAAGATGTTACAGAATCTAGTACAATGTACTTTTAAAATCTATTTGTAAAACTTGACTTTGAAAGTTAGTAGTGAAAGGAAAATGCTATAAATTATGGTTTATGTGTATGGTTTAAACATGTTTAATTCTGTGTATACAATATTTGTCATAGTCTGCTTTCAGACCTTTTATGAGAAGAGATCATCTCCTAATTTAACAGGTATCAGATAGCACCTAGAAAAATATGTAAAGCCAGAGGAAGTCACTTAGGAGGTAGAGGGTGCATAATTAATATTTTGCTCTACTTTTAATGCTCAAATACACATTTTTTCTATCCTGAAATACGTGTCCTAATGGTAAAACTTTGAGTAGTAAAATATTGTCTGCAGAAAGCTGTGTGACAATGCCTACTAGAACACACAAACAAGTAAAGCACTACTGAACTCCAGGGAAAGTCCTTCCACACAGAATCCTGAACACTGCAACACAGACTCACCATTTACCCATGAGGTAAGTTTTTCTTTAAAACTCAAAACTCTACCACAAAGATGTTTTACACCTAATCCACCTAAAGTCAGACCTCTGCCTTATTAATAGACATATGAATCAGTCCAACTTTGGTGATCTTGACTTAGCTTAACAGCTCACTAACATTAGAAAATCCAGGGACACATTTAACTAAGTTCTTTTTAATATGGCTGGACAAACAAACAGGGAGACAAAAGTCATGAATTCTATTTTTGGCTGACATACTCAAACTGACGATTTGCTGCAGAAAATAGTTACTATGTTTTAAAACTTCTATTCTTCCAAAATGAACCTAACCTTTTTTAATTTCTTTCTTTCTTTCCCACCTCTTGAAAAACAAGTCTTCCCCTCCTTAGACCAAATGAAAAATAACTAGCTGAGTTCCTCAGCTAAGCTCAAAACCACATTCCAAACTTAATAACAGTGAAGCTGAACACTTTACGGGCACAAAGGCTGCATTTTTAATGGACACAGTGAACGCCTGCCTTTGTAGCAGCCTGAATTATTTTCATTCTTCCATTAGTCTAGTATTTCTTGTACAAAGAAAAATATCCCAGGAATACTAATATTTTCATAAAGATTCTGGCAATCAACTTGGAGAAGACCCAAGTGCATCTCAAGCAGTACTATGAGAATCACGAATATTTTTCTCTGCTTGAATAAATTTGTCCTGTGGTCTCAAAAACCTTTTCCATACCTTAATCAAAATTGTGACTACCTGGATCACAAAACAGTGTCTAAAATCAAAAGAGGTTTGATTTCAATCATTAAATTTAAAAAAGAAGAAAGTGTGAGGGATTTTGTTTTAAGAGAAAAGAGCAAAATAGAAGAAGTTGAAATCATCTGCAATCTTTAGAGAAGCTACCATCAACAGGTATATGCAATGAAGGCCTTACTGAGTCACCAGCCTGGTTCTACGAATTAGTACAGTTTGTATATTTAAGAAGGGGCTGGATACATACAGGTCAACAAACTGAGTCATGTTTGCTCAGGTGAAAGCTAAAAATAACCACTCCTCAGTATTCCTAGGATAGTAATGCAATATCACCCAGCTGCCTCAGCACACATTATAAATGTCCCCTCTACCTATCCACAGCATTTAGATGAAAAAAAGTGGGCCAAACACTACTCTACATCATTGCAATTTAATATAGCAATCTGGCCAAAAGTGAGTATGAATATGTCCAGACCCTGTGGGCTGGTTTACTTATGGTGGGATAAGACAGCTTTTACAGCATACACGGAAGTCACAAAACCATGAGCTATTCATTGAAAACTCTGGTCCATTTTAAGTTCAGTTCTCTTTACTACGTCAAACATGGGGCATTCTTTTTTCATCTGTATTTCAGCACAGTATGTCTGGCCTCTACCTCTCCACTATAATATGAGAATTGTGAAATGTGATGCTACCTGTCATTTAATTTTAAAGTGACATGAAATCAATTAAGACTTCTAACTCAAGGCTGTAAAAAACTGCACAAATACAACTTAAAGCCTCTTTGGTCCCTCAAAATACATTACTAAGGCTCATACTACACTCACCAAATATCTTGAGTACTAAGCACTGTGAGATGCTGGAGTGAGCCTAGCTGACACCAGCCATGTGGAATGTACAAATAATGTGGAAAATAAATAATTACAGGAAAAAGTATTTGTAATTTTGAATGCTACATTTACCCTGACATTACCTGAGAAAGGTCAACAGAGAGATAGTTGGGAGGTAGGAGAAATGAATTCACTAGAATGAGGCAAAAATTCCAGACATCATTACAACATAACCTTGAATAAAAATGTAAGTGACCAATGACTAAACGTGTAGTCCTTTTGGAAGAATATTCATTACTCCAGTCAGCTTCCTGTTATGGCTTCTCAAATGACGGACCAGCTTGCAAATTACTATCCAGCCAACCACCACTGGCTATCAAGCTCAAAGTTGAGTCAGCATCAAATCATTAGCCCCTACTCCCTCCAGAACATATAATTAAAGAGTTAGACAGAGATACAAGACTTACTTGGTTGCCTCCTAGAAAAGTTAAAATAAAATTAAAACAACATGCTGACATGACACATGGTCTCCACTTAGGCCGACACAGACTATTTATTTCTTTGCTTTATTACAAGTAAAGAAGATTCCTTTAGCAATTATCCACCGGTATTACTATTATGCGGGCACTGCACTAACTAAAGATAGAGACAAATGACAGTCCCAGACCCTGAGTTGCACAGTCTAGTGTGGGAGGCTGAGAAGTTGACGAAGGTTTGC